AAAATTGGCATTTTGCAAGACAATATCAATAAACAATCATTTTGATAAAGAAAAATATATTTAACTATATATATATATTCTAACGATTATCAATATGTTTACTATCATGCATAACTGCGTAATATATGCTAATATTATTTAAATCTGAATATGTCAACCTTATTCAAATATGATGGCATATTTTGGATTATTCGTCAAATAATAATTTGAAAATTTTTTATCTTATTCGAATATTTGTTGAATATGAATATTCATTGAAAAATGAATATTAATCTGAAGCTCTAAATTGGAATGATCAAAATATCATTTCATTGAATGCATCATTTGATGAAATGATCCAAAATATTATTCTATCAAACGATTTAAGTATTGTTTGATGGAATAATCATAATATTATTCCAATCGAACGATTTAAATATCATTCAAATAGAATAATTATAAATATCATTCTATCAAATGATAAATAAATCGTTCGATTGAAACAACCAAAATATTGTTTTATCAAATGCTAAACAAATCATTTGTTTGAATCATTAATTAGAATCAACTAAATCACAATTAAATCATAAACTTTAATCACAAATCAAATAATCAAATGTATTATAACAAATTTAATCATAGTTGATCATAGAATTAGTCACAAATTAATTTTATAATCAATTAAACATTCAAATTACATTATAAATTTAATTACAATTTAATTATAATTTTATTATAAATTTAATTGATTTTTTTTTTTCGATACATATAAAATTTATTTTTCTTTAAAAAAATTAAAAAAATTTTATTTTTAAAATAAAAATTTAATAAGATTTACTAGAAACAAAAATCTCTTTAAATTTCATAAAAAACATATAAAATTTGACTTTAAATTACCATTTTCACTGCTAACCACTATCCTACACAGCAATATTCTTTATATAAGCATTTTAATATCTGATTGTATAAACAATTCTGATCATGCAAACAATCTGATCTTGATATCTCTGATTATGTAAATAACTTGATCTTAAAAATAATTTGATCATGATATCTTTATGATCATATATACAATTCTGAATACATAAACAAAATAACAAATAAAATTCATAAATCATAATTTATTTAATCATATTATATCAATATCTTAATTTCATATCTTAATTACTTATTTTAATTACATATAAAAAAATCAATTATATAGTATTATCCTTATTATAGAATACTATTAACCAACTCTTTCATATCAAAATCCTCATCAATTTTATCATTATTTCTATTGATATCTATTCTATTCTTAAAATTTGAAACATCTACATATTCAATCACAACAATCAGTTCTAAATTAAATAATGTAAACATATTTAATTTTTCCTAATCAGTATTATTAAAGGTTTGAATGAGTCAGATTAAGCAAGTTTTTGTCAAACTCAATTCAACTCAAAAAATAGAGTTAAGTCAAGTCGAGTCAAAAAAATTTTTAAACTTTAACTCGACTCAACTCGAGTTATTCATTTTGATTGAATGATAAATCATTGTTCCAAAGGAATAATAAATAAAATCATTCTGATAGAATAATAATGCATCATTCTTAAAGGAATGATAAAAAGAATCATTCTAATAGAATGATAAAATATCATTCTAAAAGAATAATAGAAAGAATTGTTCTAATAGAATGATAAAATATTATTCTAAAGGAATGATAGAAAGAATTATTCTAATAGAATAATAATGTATCATTCTAAAGGAATGATAGAAAAAATCATTTTAATAGAATGATAAATAAAATCATTTCTTAAGAATGATAATAGATCATTCTTTTTGAAATGATAATTAAATCATTTTTTAAGAATGATAATAGATCGTTCTTTTTTAAATGATAATCAAATCATTCTTAATGAAATGATAATTAAATCATTTTTTAAGAATAATAATAAATCATTCTTTTTAGAACGATAATCAAATCATTCCTTAAGAATAATAATAAATCATTCTATCAGAACAATTCTTTTTATTATTACTTAAGAATAATATATTATAGTTTTATCAGAATGGTTTTTTTTATTGTTCCTATAAAATGATGATTTATTATTCTATCAGAATGAAATTTCTATTATTCTTTTAGAACTATATATATCATTCTATCTGAATGATTTTTTATACTTACTTTAAAAAAAATTTGTTAAATTTTTCAGCTTAACTTTGGGCTTGAATTTGTGCTCAAGTTTTTCTCAACTTTAAGCTCGAATTTAGCTCAAGTTATCTCAAGTCGAGTCAAGCTTAACTTAAAACTCAACTCAAGTTAAATGAGTCAAATTTTTTATAACTTGATTTGACTTAACTCAATTTAACTCATTTAACTCGAAAGTTGGCTTAACTCATTTGGAACTCTAAGTATTATCATTTAATATTTCTAATTCATTTAAGTTGAATAAAATGATTGCTTCGTTATCTTCAACTGATTCTTTATATTTCACTTAATGATTCTTATACTAATTCTATAATACTGTTTTCTGATATATTCAGTTGATAATATTGTAATTCATCTTTAATATTTGTAATATAATATCTATGAATCTTGATAAAAATTATATTGTAGCAATTAATATTCTTCTTCTTTTTCCATACATCTATCCAATTGTTAACAAATTCTTTCACAACTCGCAGTATTAGGAGTAATTGAAAAATTTTTAATTGCAAGAGTTTAAAAATGATTAAGATGAGAAAAATATGTATTCCACTATTTTAATGGTATATCATTATCTTTGATATAAGATGTATTATATAGAGGTTCCTTTAATTTGTAATCTTTTAGTTGGGAGACCAATTCAAAATATGATTTTTTATTATTTCTAAATCCTTTCCAAATATTTCCAGTCAATAAAACAATTTTATTAAATCATTTATCAGATATACCAGCACTTAATTATAAAAATTAATTAATTAATATTAAATTATAATATTATAAATGATAAAATTATTATTTCATATTTACCTTTAAATTGAGAATGTAAAAAAAATATAATTCGTCATTAAAATCATTAAATTTAAAATATAAAATGATTAAATTAAATAAAAATTTAATTAATTTAATATAATTAAATTAAAATTAAATAAATATAATTTCTTATTATATTTTTTAATACAAAAATTTTTAAAGAAAAAATAATCTGAAGTAAATATTTTTTCAAATATCATACTAATTTTCAATAACTCAATATAACAATCAGCTAGATTAAAGATATTACTTTCTAGATATAAAATTGCCTTTTTAATAAGTTCTAATATATTTGAAATTATTTTAATATCATTAAAAAATCTGTGTTTGTTAATAATTATTTTATCATACATCTAATATAATAAATTTAAATAAGTAAATTATAAAATAAAATAATAATAATAATTATATTATATTACTTACTTCAATTAAACAATTTTTATGGTAAAGTATAGAATTGCTACATTATGTCATTGTTATCTATCACATTTTTACAAAGGTTTTTAATTTACTACCTAATATATTATGTTTGACCATAAGTTTTTCTAATATATTACCACATATATGTGATTTTTTGAAATATGTAACTAACATATTACAGTATTAAATAGTTTTTTTTTATAAAGGTGTATTTTAATATATAGGAGATAATCAGTAGAAAAGGAAAAATTCAAATTTTGGTCCAAATTTATATTATTAGATCACTTGGCTGATCTCAGTCATGTACACAAAATTAGCTTAATAATTAAAATTAACAAAAATTTTGGATTTTTTCCCTTTTCTACTAACCACCTTCCATATCATGAGAAATAAGATTAAAATAATGAGTTATTCAAGAAATATTAAAAATTGTAGGAAATTTTATTGAAATTAAATTTCTTGTTAATTTAATATTAGGACTATTATCTATTACAACAGCAACAAATTATTTGATTCTAATACTTTAAAGATCTTTTAAAATTCACTTGCTAGTTTTTCATTAGTGTGATATTCTTCAGTTAAATCTTGAAGGCAAAAAAGATATTCTTGACGAAATAGTGTTAAAATAACAAAATTCCAAAGAAATCATCTAATAAGAATTATTCAACCATCTAAAGCTAATGTTAAGTTATTTGTATTATCAAAATTTTTAAGATTTTGATATTAATTCTTGCAAGTTCTTGTTTAATAAATTCATATAAAAGTCATTTTTTACAAGAAAGGTTATATCCTACACATAATGCTTTTAACAATTCAATAAAAAATGGGTTTTCTACTATTAAAAAGTAATGTTGCAAAGAATAAAAGTTTAACTAAAATGTTATCAATTTTTTTTTGATGATTTTTTGAAATTACATTAATTTTATAATGTTAATTGAGTAAAGTTTGTTTATAAGAAGAGATAGAAGAAGAGAAAGCATAAGGATAGTTGGTTTTTTGTCGTTTAAATTCAAACGATTTATTATTAATTTCAACTTGAACTAAATCTTGAGTAACAATTCTAGCAAATTCTAAACTAATATTATTAAGACATTTTGAATAATAAGATACTAAATAAGTATGTAAAATATTGGGCCTAGCATCTGTCAAAAACTTATTACAATATTTACATGTTTTTTTATAATGATTATGAGTAAAATGTTTTTTGCCTTAAATAAATTGTTCCCATACTTCAGAAAATTTTCTTTCTAAATTTTTTTGGAACTTTTTATACTGTTTGATGATATATTAGTATTATCATCTAAAATAATTGTAAATTGTTCCTCTTCCATTATTTAAAAAATTAAAAAGAAATTTAGTTTGCATATTTGATTTTTTTTAAAAATTTATTTTAAAATTTTATTATGAGAATCAAATTATTTATAAAATTTTATTAATATCAAAAATATTAACTAAGCCTATCTAAACTATCTAAGCCTAATTAAACCTAACTAAACTTAATAAACCTTATTAAAAAAAAGCTACTGATTTTATTGATAAGCCAAATTTATATAAATAAAAAAAGCCTATTATAAATATCTAAAATTATATCATTTTATTTTAATATTATATCATTTATTACATCATTTATTATAATTTCTATAAT